CGTCCACAGCTGAGCGTCCTTTCGGCTTTGGCCCAACCACTTCATTAGCTCTGGAGCTACTTGTACTTGTCCTCCGCTCTTCCTCAGTAGCATGTTGGACGCCTTCCGACCTGAGGGGCCCATCTTCCAGCGTCATATCTTTTAGCCTTTTGTTTCTGATCATGGGGCATTCTTGGCAAAGATACTGGAGTGGCATTGCCAGTTCCTACTCCAGGTGGATTGCGTTTAGTCGGAACTCTCCACTATGTCCTGTCCGTCTTAGGTGTCCCTGCACGGCATAGCCCATAGCTTTTCTGAGTTACTCAAGCCCCTTCGCCACGACAAGGCAGCAATCCATGAAGGGAATTTCAAAATATAGGAACATACATTTTAAAATACAGGAGCCCAAAAGGGCAGATAATACATCTCCATAACATCTCATTGAAAGCAAAAAACAGTATAACTCCAAAAGCTTTAAATATATATATTTAGCTCCTGTTGCTTGTCCCAGCTCTTGCCAACCTAGCCGTGCGAAAGCATGTAAATGCGAGTAGATAAATAGGTACCACCATGGTGGGAAGGTAACGGCGTTCCATGTCTAGTCGCGCTGGCCATGTGACACGGAAACTGTCTACGGACAAACGCTGGCTCTACGGCTTGGAAACGGGGATGAGCACTGGCCTCTAGAGTTGGACACAACTGTACTAAATGTCAAGGGGAACCTTTGCCTTTACCTAAGCATGTTTAGACACACACAAAATCAATATGTCATATTCTCACCCATTTTTCCAGAATATAGTTAAAATCTTAAGTGAAAATGATTGTTTACTTTCTGGTGCCATGTCATTATCTTTTCAGCTGCTCTAATTATGCTTGCCAGGCATAATTTTCATTCTCTGTCTCACACTATTTCATCCTCTTTGGATAATATGTCTCATACAACTGTGTGTTTCGTTGCCCATCTATATAGTACTCTGTGTATGCTCCAACTAATTCCTATCCTGCTTGGGGTAGCAGATAGCTGTGAGATTTGATAGCAGTCCCGGTGATCTGCTGGGGAGTCCACTTGGCTACTCCTGCCAGCCCGTCTACCACTGTTCCTCTGGTATAGTCCAAATTAAGCAATTTACATTACTGTCAAAAGATAGTGTTATGAGATAACATATAAATTCTATGCTTTTTCTTTAAGCGCAATTGTGACATTTTAAACTGCACTTTCACTCTCGTTTCTGTTTGTCCTTTTAACATTACACCCTTCTCTTTCTCAAGAAAACTGGGACACAATGAATGAGATACTTCTGTCATGTTATCTTATCAGTAGCTCTGTTCCTGGTTGTTTTGGAAGGTAGTGGAGTTATTTAGAAAACAGTTATAACTATTGTAAACTATCTTTTTATTAAGTACTTTTTCAATCATACTTTTACTTTTTGAACAACCTGGGAGGCACTTTTTTCTGGCTTTCCCTTAATCATTCCAGCACCCCATAAATTCAAGATTTTAAAATACTGACAGGACTATCATGACCAATATGAAGTCTTAGAACAAGAGACTTGTATTTCAGCAGAAATAATTGGTAGAAGGTGGCAAACAGGCACCAATGAGACACAAAATAGTACACTGCACACAGAATGCTGTGCTTGGAGCTATTCACCTTTCTTGAGCAGATCGTGCATATCCAGTGAAGTACCAATAGCGAGCATATAGATAAAGTAACCCACAGAATGCAGCCAAAACTACAGGAAAAAGAGATAAAGCAAAGTAGTTACTGCAGGACAACTAGCAGACACTGACCTTACTTTCGAAATGTCATAAAATCCTGTTGCACACGTCCTCTCCTGTACAGTCTGAATGATGTCATCATCAGTGGCACATTGCCATTGCCATTCCTTCTTCAATTTTGGGATGCACATGGCTTGCACATGATGAAACCCATGCACCCCAACACTGAAAAAGGAAATCTTTAATCAGTAGCAATGCGCCACTAAAAATGATGTCATTCCTATTGTTCTGGTGGAATTGATCCAATAGGATTTTATTCATTAAGTAATAATCCAGGAGAAGAAACTGGAATTAGTTGCTATATGAAATAAAAGTGTCATTTTGCAATTTGAAATAACATCTACAGCTTCTAGCTCCTGTCCTTAACTACTGTGCTACTACTAAAAAAGTATAGCTTTTGCTAACAAGTATGAATGTAATATGCATGGACTTGTGGTGACTTCCCACTACAAATACACTAAAAAGTGGTGTAGCTGCATCAGGGCTCCCTGCAGCATGTGTGAACAAGACAGTTGCATCTTTAATGGTCCACACACCTACATCTTTGTTTGGGCAAGGACTTCCTGATTGACATTTGCAATCTGCACTTCTGACTGGGAAGTGCTGACCTGCAACAACCACCTGGATCAACCACATAGCATGGAACACCCCCCCACACACACCCCACTCCATTGCTTTGTGATTGACCAAAAGTAAATCACAGAAGAGCAAGCATTAACACGCCACCCCCAATGCATTAAAGTCCTTTGTTTTCATTCAATTATTTTATGACTACACAAACAATTTGATAGTAACAATTAAAATTTACCTTGATGGGAAAAAATGCCAGATACCCACAATAGTGATATGAATATTGGAAAGTATTCTGAGCAATTGGTTCTAAACAAAAATGAAGAACATAATTACTCCACACTTCAGGGACAGGCAATACTTAATACATTGAAGCCTGGCTAGCACTGAGATAATGTTCCTCTGGAAAAATCACCAACTAATTCACATTTATGACCAGATTTATCTCAAAAGCAATGAGAAGGTGCCCCACTGTTTTTGTACAGAGAGGTACTGTGCAACTATGCAAGCTCGGAATTCTAGGCTGACCAGATAGGGGTTCACCGTCTCACAAAGAACTAAGAATGTCCATAACATAAACTCCCTGGCTTCTCTTTTCATTCTGACTCAACACTGACATCTGGTCAGCTAGCTTCAGAGTTGAAGCAATGTCTTCAAGGGAAGAAAAAGATACTGCAACTATGGCTAAATCCCTGTTCCTTTTGACTGACCTGGAAAACTTATGTTCTGTTTGGATTCAGCTTCATTGTGTTTGCTTTCATGACATTCATTACTGTAGGGATGGGCCTCTTGTATTTTAAATTAACCACATCCACATTATTTTTGGCAACTGTCTCCTTGAGATTATTTTCTGGATTTTCCTCTCCTTTTCCTTTCATTTCTTGCATCATTTTTTGCTACTGGCTGATCTTGGCTTGCCAGCTGCTTCCTGCTCAACTCAGAGAAGATAGGATATTAAGTAGTAGGGGGAGAGACATTTACCCCATTGCAGGGGTGGGTGGGCTTTGGTTGTACTCTCTCTATATCTCTCCTTTTTGTCTTTATTTGCTTGTTTGCTTTTCTTGGTTTTTGGCAGTGTGTGTGCGCACACTTGTTATTTTGTGATTTGTTCCCTTTGGTGGTGGGACACTTTCCCTGTTTGATTAATTTTATTAAATTGTTATTTGTTTGATTTACTGTGTATTTATTTTGTTATATACATATATTTTGTTGGGGGTGCTGGGACTGTTTTGTTTTCTTCTGAGACATGGAGTTAGAGCCCAAACAACTTCCTTTCATTTCTCTCTAGAGGGGAAGTAAGCATCTTGTATTTCTTTCTCCCCCCCCCCCAAAGACTCTTGTTTATTTCTAAGGCAGCAAAGTCTCCCGACACCATAAACTAAGGGAATAAAATGTGTGGGTTTTTTTGCAGCTTTGTATGATGGGGCCAAACTGAAGCCAATTTATCTCAGAGAGGGAATGGGAATCTTAATCTTATATTTGCCAGTCAAATCATTTTACCTCTGAAAACCTTCCTTGCAGCAGTTTTTACTTCCAACTACTGTACCTTTGAGGCATGTATTTATTTCCCGAACATGGCTGTGAAACCTCTGTGGGTAGAAGAAGGCTGAGAGAGAGAAACATTCAGGAAGAAACCGAAGCAGTCCCAGGAGAAGGGTGACAGATTCCCCCCTTGCTCTATTTTTTTTAAATCCACTGCAATTTGTTCAGTCCTAAGAGCACTGTGAACAGCAGAAAAGGCCAATGGTGTAAAGAGCAGGCAGCTGTTAGCAGGTGCAAGATGAGTCCACATCCACAAAGAATGTTACCTATATTTAATAATATTTAAAACTTCCCTCTTGATGGTGGATCCTCCCCCATATTAAAGGAGAGGAAGATAAATACACATGCTGCTAGCGGTTGGCTTGCCTAGGCAAACAGTGCTTGAAGTTTTCATGTGAATGTTGGTTTCTCCTTTGAGAGCACTGTTTGAAACCAAAGTAGAGCAGGAAACCACGAGCTTTCCAATGCAGTGGTGCTATCAAAATCTGGCACCATCCTTTTCAAAAATGCTAAGGGCTGGGCAGAATCAAACAGCCATGAAGACTCTGCAATGCCAAAAGTTCACTAGGATGTGAACTCCAAGGTTTCCATTTCCATTAACGTAGCCTTTGCGGAACAGAACAGCATATCTATCAATACAGAAGTCTTTGATATGGATTCTTCTAATGCAGGGGTGGAGATGATTTTTCACTCTACACTGTCCATTACAGAGACTTCAGGTGGCAGAGGAGCAGGTGTGGAGAGATAAGAAGGCTCTCTGCATATTGTAATAACCAGTGATACCCAGGTCAAATAAAGTGAGCATAAACAGAAATAAGTCTGCTGATCATAGTCAAAGTGTGACTCAGGTATAAAAGTCATCAAGCAATCCATCCCAACCCAACTTGAAGATGTTTAGCTTACTGGGCTCTGAAGATCCGTTCAAATTCTGGTGGACCTAAAGTTAGAGGAGGGGTGATTTTGCACTTCCTTCGAACCGAAATCACCTGCAGGGCAAAATAGGCTGGAGGGTGGGAATTGGGGAGCGGAGAGGAGGCAGAGAGAAGACAGGTCATTTTACTTGGTACAGGGCATGAAACATTCACATACATTATTCTGCAAGAGGATTCAACTGCAATTTGGGCGCACTGATATTAGTCTGACTGGCAATTTTGTCACGCTTTTTAATTTGGCAGTTTTGCTTTGTTGTTTTAGATTTGTTTCTTTTAAAGCATCTGACAAGAACTGGAGAATAAAGATTCTTGCAAGTCCGTAGAGAGATAATTGCTGCACGAAAGATTAGAACTTGATAACCTTCAGTTCCAACACCACTCAGACATTTCTAAGCATTTAATTGAAATTGCCCATATATTTTCTTCCCAACCACAACAGCCAGAAACATTCCAACTTGTAAAATTAAATGTCATATTCCACTGCATCATAGCTGAAATCATAGCTAAAACACCCATGACAGAAGGCTACCTTACCTCTATTTAAGAACTTCAAATGCAAATGAGTCCAACATTTTCTGGAGTACTCATTTCACTGTCAAATTGCTTTTACTGTCTGTAGGTTTTTCCTAATGTTCAATTGTATTATCATTTAATCTAATTTGAATTTATTCATCTGGGTTCCATCCTCAGAAGCCACATAAATTAAATTTGCTCCATCTTACATGTGATAGCCATTCACATATTAAGATATTAAGATGGCTACCATATTACCTTTCAATCATCTTCAAATTAACAATATCCAACCCCCTCAACTTCTTTTCAGAGGCCTTCAGCAACTTGGTCATCCTCTTCAGGGTATGTTCAACTTCTTGATATCTTATTAAACTGTTGTGCTCAGAACTGAACAAGAGTATCTTACACAAGATCTGACCAAAGCAGAATTGAGTGATACTGTTACTTCCTTTGACTTGAACACTACAATTGTTGAGGTGCAGCTTAGTATTGCATCTGCTTTTTTGCTGACTTATCATGCTTTTGACTTATCTTTAACTTGTGAACTTGGGATCTAATGAAACTGATAGAACCCTTACATACAAACCACTGTCAAGCTATCTGTCACCCATCGTTCAGTTTTACATATGATTTTCCCCCTAGTTGTAAAAAGATCTACATATTTTCTAGTTTCTCATTTTCTTTCTTTTGACTCACTTCTCTAATCTGTTCGGGGCATCTTGAATCTTAATGTTGTCTTCTGAAGTAGTAGTTACCTCTTCAAATTGGTGTCATCACAAACTTGATGAGCATCCCCTTTATTCCTTCATTCAAGTCATTTATGAAGATGTTGAACAGCACACACTGCTCCAAAGACAGGACCCTACAGTACCCAGCTTCACATTTCTTGCCAAGATGACGACAAATAGAGGTGGGCATGAACCTCAGTTTGGAGGTTCGTGCTGGTCTGTACACATGGCACCAGAGGTGCTGTGCGTTCCCTTCCCCCGCTTCCCTGGTCAATGACCCACTCACCCATCGGAGCATGCTCCTCTCCTCCTCCCCTTTGTCTGTTTGCCCAGTCCCCAACAAAAGCACAAGTTTGCCTGTCCTGCCTTCTTGTCTGAGTGGGCAACCAGCCAAGGAGGCAGGGCAGGGCAGCCCATGTGGTCCTGCCACAGACTAGTGAAACAGGCAAAGAGAAGGAGGAGAGGAGTGTGTGGCATTTGGTGAGTGGGGAATCCAGCCAGGGAGCTGGGGGAAGGGAATGTTTGTGATTCCGTGCATACGAACTGGCACAAACTTTTGAACTGAGATTTGTGCCCATCTCTAATGACAAAACATTGGATAGCACTCTGACCATAGCCCATTAACTGGTTACCAATCTAACAGCAGTGTCACCTTGCTCCGCATCATCCAGCTTGACCACAAGAATATCACATGGTATTTTCTTGAAAGCCTTGCTAAACTCAAGATACAACTAAACAGTCGCAGAAGTTTTCTGATCTGTCAAGTACAACGCCCCACATTAATCTGGCATGGCTTGTTTTTGAGAAATCCATGATAATAATCAGAGTGTTATTGTCTAAGTACTCACAAACAATTATTTAATTATAGTTCTAGAGCCTTTCCCGGTATTTATGTCAAGCTGCTAAGTTGGTAGTTGCCCAGAGGTTCCCCCTCCCTTTTTTGAAGATAAGGCCAACAATTTGTGTGCTAACCTTTGCTAACCATTTACTTCTTACAAATACTTCTTACTGCGTCTAAAAAATATTGTGCAACACAGATATGGAAGTGGTACTCTTCTCAGCCAAGTTTTCCTTAAGTCAACCTTTTCTGCTGTGTTTCCCTGAAGCTCTTCTCAGCCAAGTTTTCCTTAAGTCAAACTTTTCTGCTGTGTTTCCCTGAAAATAAGACAGGGTCTTATATTAATTTTTGCTCCAAAAATGCATTATGGCTCATTTTCAGGGGATGTTTTATTTTACAGTCATGTCATCTTCTAATTGATGCACAATGTTGGAGGGCGGGGCTTCACTTAACTAGGGCTTATTTTGGGGCAGGGCTTATATTACAAGCATCCTGAAAAATCATACTAGGGCTTATTTTAAGGTTAGGTCTTATTTTCGGGAAAACAGGGTAGAAGTTTAGTTTTAAACACTCAAACCAAGTTACTGCCTTATTTTCGGGGAAACAGGGTAGAACTTTAATTTTAAACACTCAAACCAAGTTACTGAAATACAATGGCTAACGATACAGGCAGTCCATTGAAATAAAATATGTTATGTTGGAGTTATGAACACATTTGAGATTGCTGCTTCCTGCTATTAAAAGCTGCAAGATACATTTTAAGTTTTGTAACAAAACCATTAGTTTCTTATTAGTATGCCATTTAATGTGGGATAGACCACTAATGTGAATAGACAACTCTTAAGAGCAAGCGGTACCACGCATATTACCAGAACCAACTCTGGAACCAAGGTATGCCATGTGGGATAGACCACTAATGTGAATAGACAGCTCTTAAGAGCAAGCGGTACCATGCATATTACCAGAACCAACTCTCATGGCCCACTAGAACACAATAAATATGCTATTCCAGTTACTGAGTTCAACTGACCACAGTGTCAGTGTAGAATTATTAGGATTTTTATACTGCCTTTTCAGTGCCAAGATAAGTCACAACTAAAGTGGGATAGACCACTAATGTGAATAGACAGCTCTTAAGAGCAAGCGGTACCATGCATATTACCAGAACCAACTCTCATGGCCCACTAGAACACAATAAATATGCTATTCCAGTTACTGAGTTCAACTGACCACAGTGTCAGTGTAGAATTATTAGGATTTTTATACTGCCTTTTCAGTGCCAAGATAAGTCACAACTAAAGATGTTTTTGGTTCCTAACTGGCAAATTCTATGGAGAAGCAAATTTTGGCTGTGACCAGGACTGCCTTCTTTCATCTATGGCAGATTGCACAGTTGTGGACAGGAAATCTGTGGGATCAGCTTTTTGACCTTTACAGAGAATGGGTGATTATAGTGATCAGGGTGTTTTTATGGTTGTATTGTTGTGATAAACTTTCTTCTTTCTATAAGATGGTGCAAAAAAGAAAACCTTTTCAGAAGATTGGGTGATTATAGTGATAAGGGTTTTTTTAATGGTTGTATTACTTTCTTCTTTCTGTAAGATGGTGAAAAAAAGAAGAAAATCTAAAACTCAATGAAGCCTGGCTCCCAGCACTGAAAAATACAGCCTGCAAAAAGGTCAACAAACCCTACCCAGTCACAAGGACCAGTGATCACTGCACACAATAGACTAGACAACGACACCCACCAATCATGTGACAGATCATCTCCCCCCTTATCACAACCATATACCCATAAAGAAAACCACCCTGATCACCATAATCACCCAAACTCCTAAAACGGATTTAAAAAATGATTCCACAGCTACAAATAGTCAACTATCCCACACACTACACCAGAACGCAGACAGAGTTCTAGCTCCTGTCCTCTGAAGATGCCGGCCACAGAGACTGGCGAAATGTTAGGAAGAAAAACCTCCAGAACACGGCCATACAGCCCGAAAAACCTACAACCACCAAATAAATCTATCATTACATGGGGATGGGGGAGAGAGATGCAATGTTTTCAGTGTAATTAGTGTTGACCCCTTTCCCAGTTTTGCTTTTTATCGAGTTACTGCTGTTTCAACCAAGTGAGATTTGTATATTGTCATCAGGGCAAGAATGGGTTTCATTTTAATTCCGGTGCCCCTATTACAAAGAAGAAGAAGAAAACAAAAGCCACCTTTTAAGACTTTATGCCAGGGTATCTCAGACCCATGTACATTACTCACTTCCTCTAGTCATTCGACAGTCCCGTATATTTTTCCTCTTTACCAATCTCTTAATCCTAGAAAGAGGCAGTCACATTAGATAGATTTCCTCTTTGTAACATTGGCTCTATCTTCCTTACCTTGTTCCAGGACTCCCAAAATGGTAACAGTGGCCAGCCAGGCTGTCTGATGCAGCATGTTGGTGAGGAGAAATAAGCCAAGGCAGTCAGAAAACTAGACAGACTTCTAAATCAGTGGCTTTTGTGCTTGCAACACCGTGGCTGTTAATATAATGGGAGAGCAAAGCCTTTATTTCCTCTTCCTGAGGGCTGGTTAGTTAACTCCATGCTTTCTGGAAAGTTTTGACGAGATGCCCAACCCACATCGGAGCTGCTTTGGAGAGCTTCCATTATCCATAGGCATTATCTTTTTTTAAAAAAAATCTGTTTTATTATTATTCATACATACAAAACAGCAAAGAAAAACAAAACAAAAACAACATAGCCATTATCCATAGCTCACGGATGCTTAGCCTCCTGGCCAGCTCTTATCGACACAGGTGACATTGATTATTTGACAGTGCATAAATATGGACCACGCCATGGACTGTGTGATGGAAATTAGTTGTTTTTAATATTTATTTGAGAGGAAGTTTAATGTCCCCTTTTGGGACAGCCTGCTTGTTGAGACAAGCACACACATGCAAGTGAAGGATGTGACTGATCTGATAGCGGTGGGTGGGAAGGTGGGAATCCCACCCTTCCGTTCTTTTGTTATCTCCTTTACAAAAGCAATGATTATTAGAGGTGGTGTGCTTTAGAAATTAAGTGGAAGAACAGAATATAAACTGCACACACACACTACTGAATACATAAATTTTTTTTTGGACTTATATTCCGCCCCATAGCGCTACAAGCACACAGGTGACATTGATTATTTGACAGTGCATAAATATGGACCACGCCATGGACTGTGTGATGGAAATTAGTTGTTTTTAATATTTATTTGAGAGGAAGTTTAATGTCCCCTTTTGGGACAGCCTGCTTGTTGAGACAAGCACACACATGCAAGTGAAGGATGTGACTGATCTGACAGTGGCGGGGAATCCCACCCTTCTGTTCTTTTGTTATCTCCTTTACAAAAGCAATGATTATTAGAGGTGGTGTGCTTTAGAAATTAAGTGGAAGAACAGAATATAAACTACACACACGCACACACACACACACTACTGAGTACATAATTGGTACAGAAAGGTCTCTGAGTGTTGTCTTTATCATACGGTTTACAATTTAATTATACAGGCTACACATTGCCCCCCCAGCAAGCTGAGTACTCATTTTACCGATCTCGGAAGGATAGAAGGCTGAGTCAACCTTGAGCCGGCTACCTGGGATTTGAACCCCAGGTCGTGAGCACAGTTTTAGCTGCAGTACAGCGTTTTAACCACTGCGCCACGAGGCTCTGTAATTGGTACAGAATTCTGTATTGTAATTCTGTAATTGGTACAGAAAGGTCTCCGAGTGTTGTCTTTCTCATACAAGCAACCTTTGGATGGGTAAGAGAAACATCTGGTTGGGCCACATGCAAAGGTTGGTTTGGTCTTTTCTCTCCTTCTGCCCTATTATGGTGATTAAAAGGAGGACAAGGGTGTTATAAAATCCACTGAGGCCAGGGCAGTGGGGCAGGCAGCCCTCCAAGAGCCACTAGACCAGTGGTGTCCAACCTTGGCCCTCCAGATGTTCTTAGACTACAGCTTCCAGAAGCCTTCACCACCACCTCTGCTGGCCAGGATTTCTGGGAGTTGGAAGTCCAAGAACATCTGGAGGCCCAAGGTTGGGGACCACTGCACTAGACTGTAGCTTCCATCCATGGTGAGGAATGATAGATGAGGGAATTTGTTCTGTTCTCTAAACACACATCCCTTTCAGCTGGTAAGGCCAGATCAAATCCCTGTTTTAATGAGGTGAAAGTGATGAAAATAGAAGGGAGAGAGGCTAAAGCATCATTGGATCCCTTTCAGCTGGTAAGGCCAGATCAAATCCCTGTTTTAATGAGGTGAAAGTGATGAAAATGGGAGAGAGGCTAAAGCATCATTGGTGAACAGCCTTGGACAAATGTGATCATAGACGGGCTGCAAACTATGACGTACACTCTGGTAGCAAAAGCAATGAAGGGAGTTTATCATTATTATCACCACAACATCTGCACAGAGTAGACTGGTGGTGCACTTTTAACATACAAACAGCTTTTTTCATGAGGGTACTGGAGATAAATTGCCAGAGCAGTTGATTCCTTGCTCTGAGCAGTTTGCTGAATGTTGCAGACAAAATCAGCCAGAGTAGCCTTGACTTGGATTCCAATGCAGAGGCAGTTCCTACAGAACTTTGGCAAGCATGCTTCCTGTCACCTGGGACTGTTTTCAGTGTGTAGATATTGATCATATAGACAAGGTCTCTAGATCAGTGAGAGCTACCACCTGTCTACTTGCTCCTTTCTGGCTGATTAAATGTTCCTTCTGGCTAATTGAATCTTCAGAGATGGGACTCATGGTCAAGGTGAGTGATTAAAACCACTTTACAGGAAAAGGATTCTTCCTCCTTGCTTAAGAGAGGCAGGAGGAAGAATCCTCTGTTAAAGGAAATTGTCCTCAACACAGATGTTTTATCTACCTCTAGGTTGGGCTCAAATCTAGTAATGTTGGCTAAGATAGTTAACAAGTTGGTGGCGGCATGGCAACTCCAAACAAATGGGAATTGGTTGCAAATCTGAAGGAAGTGCCTTCCATTGTCAGGAAGCGACATAGGAGAAAAGGCCCCCTCCGGTGTGCTCCTCAAGGAGGCCCTTCAGCAAACACTGGTCCTCTCCTGAAGATCGTAATGTTTTACAGGTACAAGCAGCTGATTCCTTAGACAGCCAGGTCCCAAGCCTTTTATGACTCTATGGTTAATGGGGGAGAGAGAAAAGTAATAGATTTAAACATAATTTATGACAATATGGGGAAGGATTTTCAGGGTAACAGCAGTTCTAAAGACAAACTATCTGCCAGGGAAGTAATGGTTGACTAAGCCACACAGATGATTAATACATCACTACATATGAAAAAAAACAAACCATAGTGCAGCCCATTTTGAAAAATATTGCTGGCTCCAGAGGATGTAACTAATTCCAGACCTGTTGCCAACATTCCATTTCTGGGAAAACTAATAGAGAGGGTTGTAGCAGACCAGTTACAGACATTTTTGGAGGAAAGTGATACTCTGGATCAATTTACATCAGGGACCAAGACAATACCGTCAACCATGGTAGCCTCCTAGACAGACTTTTAGGTTTAGGGATGAGAGGCTCTGTATTACTCTGATTCTGGTCCGTTCTCGAGGGTGGTGTTCAGAGTGTGCACGGGTTCTCCATTGTGGAGTCCCAAAGGGGTTGATTATCTCCCCAATGCTCTTTAACATCTATATGAGGCCACTAGAACAAGTCATCTGGAGATTTGGAATTCGCTGTCATCAGTATACTGATGACACGTAGCTCTATCTCTCCTTTTCCTCTTCAGCAGTGGAAGCTGTGCAGAACCTAGAGTGATGCCTGGCCTCAGTTATGGACTGGATGAGGGCTAACAGATTGAAATTGAATTCTAATAAGACTGATATCATGCAGTTGGGTGGAGAACCTGCTCACTATATTGCCTGGCCTGGACCAGGTCACACTGTCCCTAAAAGACCAAGTCCACAACTTGGGTGTGCTCCTAGACCTGGTGCACTCTATGGAGAAGCAAATTTTGGCCGTGACCAGGACTGCCTTCTTTCATCTATGGCAGATTGCACAGTTGTAGCCCTACCTGGACAGGAAATCTCTAACACCATTGGTTCATGAGTTGGTAATCTCTCAGATTGACTACTACAATGCTCCCTATGTGGGGCTGCCTTTGAAGGCGATATGGAAGCTTCAGCAGGTGCAAAACGGAGTATCCAGCTTCATCTTACGAGCACAAAGATACAATAATATCTCCACAATCCTGGTACATCTGCATTAGCTCCCTGTATGCTCCCATCCCAAATTCACAGCGTTGCATTTGCAGGTGGCTACCCCAAGAAGGGCTCAGAAAACTACCACTAGGAACTGGGCCCTCAGTGGTGACTGCAACGCTATGGAAAGTGTTACCTGCAGATACATGCCAGGCCATCTCCTTCTTGTCCTTACAAAAACAGATTAAAACCATACTGTTCAAAGAGGCCTTTGGAAACATCTTACCCTTGTAACATCTTAATGTGCAGAGTTGAGCTTGATTTTGATTTGCCATTCAGGTTTCCTTCTTGGGGGCATATCCTGGGTTTTCAATGTTTCTTGGTTCTCTATTGATGTATTCGTGGGTGGCATTGGATTGTGGTATTTTAATTGCTAGCTGCCCAGAGTAGTGCCCTGGCATTAGATGGGTGGGATATAAATGGAATGAATGAAACGACTGAACGTACTTCAATACATTTTTCTTTTCTGAACGTCTAGTGTTTCTGGTTAATGTCTCCATATTAAAATGCTTTAAATTTTAATCAAAACTTTAGATTTATCAAATAGCATCCCCTTCACATTCTGGAGAAATGAATACGAAGCTTTTTTCCCATATTATAATTGCTAGATTCGTGATCTTAATCCTTCTGCTCCTTTTCATGCTAAAGTGAGCTGAAAGTGAAGGAAATGAGCTACATTCAAGCTACATTTTCTTGGAAAGGCCAAATGTTTCAATGGGATTTCTTGCCAAGTAAATCTGCATAGGATTGTAGTCCTATGAGTTTTGTACAGGGAGAAGCGCTGGATTTGTATGTGTAAAGATTGGCAGTTACCTACTCATTCATTACCAAAACAGGATTGTGGTATTGATCTGATGTCATCATCACAGTGTAAGCCTTTCCAAGAATTTCTTCAAACACTTCCTCCCAAGAAACCTCAAAATAACCCAGATTTCAAAACACGAACCTAGCATCCATGTCAAGTTTTTAGTTTCCTTAAACAACAGATTCTAATAGATAAGACATGGCATTTATGAAATTATAAGTCAAGACACCAAGATCCTTTGATATGGCTTAGATCTTGAAATGCCATTAGAACTGTGAAGGTTGCAAATTGAAAACGTCTCTACATTTTGTCTTTTTTAAAAACAGGACTACTCGTACCTGGTATTTTAAAAAACATGGACAATATCAAATACACAGATCAAGACAGGCCATGCAGGTTGTAACTGCTCTTAATGTTAACAGGATCTAGCAGTTTCTGCTCACAGCTTGGTGCAGGGTTCTGAAATGCCTGTTAAAATTACTAGCACCTACTAAATTAAAAAAGAGAGATATGAGCTGTTAAGTTTAGTAACTTGCACTGTGGTGTTTAAAATCATATGGCTTAAAATGCATTCTTACCTTCATTGCTACTGGACTCCCAATTTTGACGTATAATTGAGGAGTGAGCAGAACGAAGTCTGTCAAATCATTTCACTAACGCACAAATAAAAACCTGATGGGGAGTACCTGTAACAGACCAATGATGCCAAACAAACTGAGGCTTAACATCTGGATTTAGTGCTGTTGTGGGAATTAGAAATCCTTGTATTCTACTGTTAATCACCCACAGGTCTACCGGTTGATCTTGATCAATCTTCTAGAGAAATCATTATCTCCACCCTGGTCCTCTGTAGGAACATATAGAGGAAGTATCTGGAACAAAACATATTTTTAAAATCTCCATATGATATTTAATTAAATATTGCTTTGTCATGGAACACCCAGGATCCAATGGAGTACTAATGCTGGATTCTGCTGCCCCTTGTTGCAGTCGGTAATCTCTCCTGCTTCACCACAGAGAATTGCAGCAGGAAGGGAAGGGGAAGAAAGTCCTGATTCCAGTGACATTTGATATTGAAGTACAGTGTTGAATCACATTTAACCATTGTATTTTGAAACCGACGAACAACTTGTAACAGACCGAACAAACTGCTTCGGCCTCAAAACATTATTTCTCCCCAACCAACTCTTTTTGTCAGCATTAAAACTGTGGTTAATGTGTCTGGGGATAGTGGCCAACGATTCATACTTGAGCAGGTATCAGAAACAGTGTACTGTTGTTCTGATGCAAAGAATGAATCTACAGTTTTAAGCAGGAAATAGAGCAGATAAAGGTACTCACTATGTGACCCAGCTCACTGCTATCACTCTGATCACTGAGCTCACTATGCAAATCAGCAGCCTACATATTTGGGTTCTTTGGGAGGCAGCAGAGGAAGATGGTATATGAAAATGAGAGCAAACAATTGACCCACACCTGGTATTACACCAAACTGACCATGGCACAAGAGCCTTAAGGGACTCCAACATACATTAAATTGTAAGCATACTCTAAAACATGCAAAGCATGAATGAAATACACGTTCCATACAAATCAAAAAGCCTGAGCTTAACTCTGAATTGGGTATAACATGCCCCAAAGTGTATGAAAGTAAAACTATGTTAATCAACAATAATTTCTATTAAAGAAACCCAGCAATGTGATGTGAAATATAATCAACTGTAAAAGCTTTTAATATCTAACCTTGGGATTTTTGTTCAAAGCGGTAACCTTAACTCAATGGATATTTTACAAAAAAGGGGAAGCAAATTTGGAAAATCACAGCCAAGAGCAAAGATAGTGCAGGGAACTACAGTATGTTTGGTTCACGCAATGTATCAAAAACCACAACCACTTGTCTAATACACTAGCAAAATATTTATTTTTTTATAATGACATAACAGAAGTGAAAGATTTCTTTTTGGTGTGCCACAGTAATTGTAATTAAAGAAAAATGGATTAATGGGCTCTTTACACATTACAATGAACAAAAAAGGTTAGCAACATATTTTAATTGTTCACCATTTAAACAAGTAAAACTTATCATAACCACCCCCAACATATATATAAAGAATTATAGTTTTTAAATCTATAAAAAGTAAAAAATATACACTCAGAAGATCTAACTCTTGTTCAATCTTTAATATAAAACTGTAAACATTTATGTACACAAAGAAAATGTGTAGAATAGAAAACAGAGCACCCTTTCAATGGAGTTGTGGGGGTATCAGAAGGCAGTGGAGGTTGAACAGTAATGATTTCACACCTTGTCACCTGTTCACGACCACAGTCTATAAATAAAGCCGAGGCAGCAGGCTAGGTAAAGCTCAGGAGAGCCACATCTTATTGCTCTGAAGCTGCAGCAACTGGAAAGCTCAAGTGCATATATTCATTTCTGAACTGCCATAAGCGGCTGAAGGACAGCACTCAGCCTTCCCCACGCAGCCTCCATGTTTTACTGATCACTGAACAGCGTGTTCATATTGTCCCACCAATGCTACATTTTAAAGATCTGAATAATTTCAGAAACCAAATGGCTACTTTGTGTGCTATAATTTAGAAGTTCTTACATCCAAGTTGAAAGCAATTTTTTTACACGTGCTATTCCAAAAATATTCTAGGCCAATTTGCTTAACACTTTATGTGCTCACAGTTGACAATATTCTGTGTAACTGAAGAGGCACAGACATATTCCCTTCTTACTGAACATTAAAACCTGACTGTAGCATTAGAAACAGAAGGTGTTACATTTTCTTTTCACCCAAATTCTAGTTGGAAAATCCATCTAGAATTGAATACCATGAATCAATTTCACCTGTCAACGGGCCGGAAGGAGAAATCAGCAGAAAACAAATAATTAAGAAATATGAGGTCCCAAGCACCTCCAATAAGAAAAGGAAGGCACACTGGTGCTAAATTCCCAAGAGTGTACAAAACAATTACAACTATATCCACCCTAGCCCAGCATCTCCCTGACCAAATATTAAAAAATAAAATAAAGTGTGTGTGGTGGAGGGGAAGGCAGCTACAAATATTAAAATATTTTCCTGATGACATTCATCTTGGACCAAATCCTTAATTAAACCAAGCTCAATGAAACAAATTCACTCAACTGCTGACCTGTGGAAAAGATTAGTACAAATGTAAGTCTAATCTATTTTACCTACAACATCAGTGACATCTATGTTTCTTTCATTAAATTAATCACCACTTAGAAAACGGTGTTTTTAAAATATACAAGCAATGCAATTTGTTTCAGTTCGGACATTCAACAGTAGAACCACCCAGCAACATGCAGCTTTCATCATTTATCCCCATTCAACCAACCGTCCATGAAGAAGATACAATCAAAAAAACTCTGTGTAGCATGGTGTACAAACTTGCTCATGTGTGGCAAATATATGGAAAAAAATGGGAAAAGATTAAATAAAAAGTAGTGTTAAAGCAGTTTTCTTTTCCAAAGTGCACATTTGAGAAAAACACTGAAGATACAGTAAAACAATTTCCTTCCCATAATTCAACTGTTTTATCCCTTAACTCTTCCCAGTTCTAAAACATACCAAACTCACATCTCCTCACTTTTCTTGCACAGAAATGCTCCTGAATGTGCCTGGTGTGAAGAAATTCTTTGATTCTCAGTTGCAGGTATGATGATGCTAAGTATCCTTATAACAGGAGATAAATAGTCCTGTTCATTAAAGAACAAAAGAAAACCCAGAGTAGGGAACCGAGAGGTATCTGTGCATCTAAAAAACTTTCAAATTTATCACCTTTATAAACTAAAGGTTAAGGCAAAAGGTGGCTTGTTGGCAAGCAGAATAATTTTTTGGTAACATGTTAAGAAAAACGCTCTCTTTTCCTTGCCCTGTATAGTACGGACCTACACCATCCACGAAAGCTGCTTCATGGACCGCAAGGAAACAGCAGCATCTGCTTCACTGGAAATTAGTCTACTTGCATCAAAAGAGATTTAGTTCATCCTTTTTTTCCTAAGGGGTAGAGAGAGGGCTTTCACGATGGATCAAACATTATCAAAGTATTCTGCTTCTGGCTCCTTGTGCCATTATTGCAAAGTTTTCCATGTTTCAAACAAATCCCAAGGCACAAGGCTTGCTTCATATGCTGACCAAAGCCAATACGTCCTGTTCTTACTGGTACAGCATGCATGTGACAGCCTGGAGATTGCTTATTACACATGCCCTCAGCAACAAAGAGGACAAGTAAGCTGCAATCTGTCCATCTCTCTCATTTAACAAATGCTGGAAAGGAGATGGAAAAAGTGCACAAACTTGATTCTAGTCTGATTCTCCAATTTTAAAAAAATCCTCTAAAAACCAAGAGCTCAGTCTCCCCCCCACAACAGTGCAAATTATTTAGCTTAGTAAGTTATAAGCCAATTAAGACTGAGGTGCTCACTTTAGGTCTAGAGGAACCTTTGCTGGAAACTGTTTTAATATTGGACAATTCCAGCATAAAAAAAACCATTAGCTATTAATTGTGAACTCTCACATCTTGTTTGCTGAGAATGCAGGCACATGTATCACTGGTGACTAGAAAATTATCCCCTCCAAACTGGAGATGATCTGACAAAGGAACAAGGGTTGCACATTTTTTTCCCTCAAAGTTGATAGGATGCTATTTTCATTAGTTTTCACTAGGACAAATTAGGATCAAGAAACTTGTCAAGTAATAACTGTAGGAAAGAATACCTTAACACTGAATATGTGGAGTCTTCCTTGCTGGCTTATTTTCTGCACCACTACTGCACAAATCCACTTTTAAGTCTTCTAATTCAAAACACTTGTTACAAATGGAATTTCTGGAGGGCTACTGGGGACACATACCAGATTGTTTGAGACTGTTCTCATGTGCAGTGTTTCATACACACTGGGAAAAATGAAATTATTTCCTATCAAACTGGTGCATCTTTCTCATCTCATCAGACCCGGAAGGGAGCAGCTCCAATACATTCCGACTAGTGCCTGTGTATCTTTTCAATGCCACAGGTATTTGGTCCAAAGATACTTTTTAATTTAAAAAGACTGAGAGGTGGGGGCAAACCGTATTTCAATGATTCCCTAATAACTCATCCAAGTCATTCATCCATTCTTCTGAAGTCCTGTTTTTCAACAAAGTGTCTATGAGATCTGTCTCCCCAGTCAAGTTCTGTAGCCCATTTCCCCCATGTGGGCTATTATAAGCGAAGGGCAGTTCCTGGCTGGCTGTCCTCACTGGATAACCTTGACTACAGTGCAGATTGGCTCTGCTGGGCATTTGCTGATTTTGATTCTGGCTGAAAGAAGTCAGATCTGGGACAGCCTGGCTCAAGCCTGGCAAAACCTGCTGTGACGAGACCTGCTGCTGAGTAGGAGGGTTCTTCCTCTGCTGGGCACCAATGGATGACAGCATCTGTCCAGAAACAGTGGAGTTCATGGAGGCCATGGGCCTGCTGGCGTTGAGGCTTACCTGAGGCATCCCCTGAGCAAACTGTTGACCAGTTAACTTTAGGTGAGTGGGCTGCATGTGGAAAGTAGAGCTGGCAGTAAAAGTCCCCAGACCACTATTTCCTTGTGCCTGGCTGTTCATGTTGGACATGCCTTGATGCTGCCATGATGGATTTTGGCCCCCAATAGCTGTTGGCATTCTTGCAATCTGGGGTTTGGGTAAAGTAGGATTCAGTCCTCCTTTACTGTGTTGCTGAGAGATGCTTGAGTTTCCCAGAGTGCTTTGTCCATACCCAGCAGCAAGGGGAGTCCCAGGAGCCAAACTGGGTTGTCTCTGCATCTGCGGTTGTCCACTGGCACTGGGATTTGTGTGCTGGGGGACCATTTGTGTCATACCAGATGCCATATTGTACAAACTACCTCGCTGAATATTCTGTAAGCCAGCATACTGTGTTACTCCACGATCCTGTTGATTGCTACTTGCTGAGACAGAACTGTGCCCTGTTCCAATCTGGATCATATTCTGGGTCTGAGAAAACATGCGTGGGCTACTGGAGTTGGACTGGCCTAAGTTGTTTACTCCTGCAATTGCTGGAGATGAGCCTGTAGCAGAAGAAGAGATATTCATTGTTAGTGTTTATCCAAGAAGTAACTCAACACCTGTCATTAGCTGAGGAGTAACATAACATACATAACATACATCATTACAATATTGGAACATTTCATAGACATATTTTGTATATACTAGTTTGAGTCATGAGATGTATAGCTGGGAAGGGCTAGTAGAAAATTGCTTTATGGGACCCTTCTCTCCACCTCCACAGAACCCCTAAAAAGGCTTGTCCTGAATATACTACAGGCCTGGCCTGAACATGGTAGGTTGGGTGGGTGGGTGAGGACTGCCAAAAATTTGGTAAATGCAACTTCTCTCTGAACATGCCTTTTCTTTAGTCATCTGATCTGTGCCACTGAAAAATCTCCCATGTGAATAAATCCATGCCTCAGAAGATTACAAAGTACAGGAATAAAAACTGTTGAATAAAATTGACTACATGACTACATAAAATTGATTCATGTTGGATTTTGGGTACCTGCACTATGGTACAGTTACCTAAAAAAACAAGAGAAACACATTGCACTGAAAGCCTAATAATATAAACAAAACCTGTGTTATCTTGCTAAACACACCCACTAATAATTTATATGCTTTTAGATATACATGTTATAAAATACCAGTCATCTATACAAAATAAATATTTGTGATATTCAAAAATATATACAACCACAGGGATGCCTGAAAGATTATCTCACGTGTTTATAATATATACTGTACAATTCTTTCATTGACAGATAACCATCTGCTGGGAAGCTGAATATACATTCTGACAAAGTGCTAAATTCATTCCTTGAAGTGCCTAATTTGTATAGTCCATATCCTGTTATGCTCAACATTTCCTTGAGAGTTTTCTCAAAATCCTCACTGCTTCTCTTCAGAATCTAGTTTGCTTTGACAACAAACTGTCCTTGTTTCTTGGTAATAAATTGTCTGTTGCTGCTGACCAAGATGCTTGTATATTAACTTGACTTCCATTTCTTTTATCAAAGCACTAGGGCTCAGTATTACCAACAAGTAATCTAAAGCATAAACAACACATATTCACATTCCATGCACTTTATTAATAAAGGGATTCAATCAAATCGTTGCTATTATGATTATTATATACTCACAAACTTCAGTCTAGATAGGCTTCCCGGAGAGAGAAAACTTTTGGCAGTAATTAGTTTGCACCTGTCTTTAAATATTTTCAAGGCTAATATATATTATAAACACACGCAAGATAATCTTTTAGGCATCCCTGTGGCTGTATATATTTTTGAATATCACAAATATTTAGTTTGTATAGATGACTGACATTTTATGACCTGTATATAGAAAAGCATATAAGTAAATTATTAGTCGGCATTTGTATTTAGTAAGATAATACAGTACAGGTTTTGTTTATATTATTAGGCTATATGGTGCAGGGGCAGGCTCAAGATTGCCACCTAGGGACTGTATAAGAAATAGTCATGTAGTACTTTTAACCCTAACAAATTTATTTTATCATCAGCTTGGATAGGCTGCTACCTGCATTCTCAGATGCAAGGAGGACCCAACCCTCTTTCACAACCACTGCTTGTACATTTTGTTGCTGGGACCTACACAAACTGTCTTGAATGAAACTCAATAACAAGAGAGAGAAAAATCAGTATTCATTTCTTTTTAGCAGAGTTTGGCAGTAATATCCACAATCCAATGTACATCAGACTAGAAGTGGCTTCCATGGATGCAGATTTTTTTTTTAACAAACCCAAGATTTGTTACAAGCAGGATACAAATTCTACCTGCAAAAGTGCATGTAAAAAGTAACTAATGACTAAACTGAAAGAATCTGTAGAACGGTTGTTGTGGTTTTTTCGGGCTCTTTGGCCGTGTTCTGAAGGTTGTTCTTCCTAACGTTTCGCCAGTCTCTGTGGCTGGCATCTTCAGAGGACAGGACTCTTTCTGTAGAACATTTCCATTCCCTCCCATGGAATAATTGTAGGTCACTCCCAGTGTCTCCTTTACCTGTGAACTGTCCAACCTGCTGTTGGTATGGATTCTGTGCCTGATCTTGATACTGAGGGGGTGGTCGAGTCAGATGCCTTTGCAGCTGTTGTTCCTGATGGTGCCTTTGCTTTTCCTACAATAGGGAAGATAAAAGGTTATTAGCAGCCATCTACATTTCATCAGAGTATCTTGGTGTACAAAGCAATGGTTGGAAACATTACTGCTTCATGAATCATCATCCAAATCACTGAGAGAATGGTATTTTATGCTTGTACTACTTTTACCACAGGCAGGATAGGAAAACAGTAAGAATATAATTGTGGTCTGCAATCAGTAATAAACAGATACTCCTAAATCAGTACTAATACACCAACCAGTGATAGCTTTAATTGATCATGAAGAATTTTAAAAAACACAGAAAACAAACGACGAGGTTTTGATGATAAAACATCTTCTTCAAGGCTGTGCATCAAGTGCCTGGGGGTTAATTCCAATTTACATGCTATTAACTAATGTCCCAAATCCACATGGCTGATGCTGTTGAGGCCAGGTTCGCTTCTGAGATGGACAGAGCTGCAGTATGTAAGTTGTTTTTAAGCAACTTCCCAGCTCACAGTTTGGAATTTATGTCCCATCTCCTAAAACAGAGGAAAGGTAGGCAATCTGCCCCCACCCCACTCCCCAGAGCACAAAGATTCCTGCTAGTTTGGCAGGCACTTGAGAATCCCAGCAGCAGCTTGTGAAATGCCAGCTAGAAGCTAGTGAATGTCACATTGGTTGCCTTCTGCATGTGTAACAAAGTAACAGGATTTAGCTACTTGGAAGTGTTAGTGAATCAAAGATTACTGTTTCCCCGAAAATAAGACCTAATATGAAAATACACCCTAGTATGATTTTTTAGGATGGTCGTAATATAAGCCCTATCCCCAAAATAAGCCCCAGTGAAGTGAAACCCCACCCTCCACCAGGGACTCTTTGTGCAGCAACCAGAAGATGAATGTATTTGAATAAATGCAGATTGTTGTACATGAAAAAAATAAAACAAACCCTGAAAATAAGCCCTAATGCGTTTTTTGATCAAAAATTAATATAAGACCCTGTCTTATTTTCAGGGAACCACGGTATTATAGATGGAGACAATCTGTACAAGGTGATTGTGAAATATATGGATTGTGAAAATATATATATAGTAAAGTTATAGCGGGACTACACTCTGGGCTAGTCAGGTATAATCTAAATCAAATCCCTTATGAATACACAGTGGAAGTGAAGAACAGATTTAAGGAACTAGATTTGGTGGACAGGGTGCCTGAAGAACTACGGATGGAGGCTCGTAACATTGTCCAGGAGGCAGCAACAAAAAACATCCCAAAGAAAAGGAAATGCAAGAAAGCAAAGAGGCTGTCCAACGAAGCCTTACAAATAGCAGAGAGGAGAAGGGAAACAAAATGCAAGGGAGATAAGGAAAGTTACAGAAAGATTGAATGCTTATTTCCAAGAACAGCAAGGAGAGAGAAGAGGGCCTTCTTAAATGAACTGCAAAGAAATAGAGGAAAAGAATAGAAAGGGAAAAACCAGAGATCTGTTCAAGAAAATTAGAGATATTAAAGGAACATTTTGTGCAAGATGGACATGATACAGGACAAAAATCGTAGGGAATCTAACAGAAGCATAAGACATCAAGAAGAGGTGGCAAGAATACATAGAGGAATTATACCAGAAAGATCTGGATGTCCCAGACAACCCATATATTGCTGACCTTGAGCTAGACATCCCAGAGAGCAAATTTATTTATTTATTGGATTTTTACCCCGCCCCTCTAGACCATGTCTACGAAGTCAAGTGGGCCTTAGAAAGAATGGCTAACAAGGCCAGGGAAGGTAATGGCATTCCAGTTGAACAATTTAAAATCTTAAAAGATGAGGCTGTTAAGGTGCTACATTCAATATGCTGGCAAATCGGGAAAACTCAGCAGTGGCCAGAGGATTGGAAAAGATCAGTCTACGTCCCAATCCCAAAGAAGGGCAGTGCCAAAGAATGCTCCAACTGCAGTAGAATTGCACTCATTTCACACGCTAGCAAGGTTATACTCAAAATCCTACAAGGTAGGCTTCAGCAGTATGTGGACCGAGAACTCCCAGAAGTACAAGCTGGATTTCAAAGGTGCAGAGGAACCAGAGACCAAATTGCTAACATGCACTGGAATATGGAGAAAGCCAGAGATTTCCAGAAAAACATCTAAACCTATACGTGGGACAGGAAGCAACAGTTAGAACTGGATATGGAACAAATGATTGGTTCAAAATTGTCTCCCTGCTTATTTAACATATGCAGAATACATCACAAGAAAGGCTGGACTGGATGAATCCCAAGCCAGAATTAAGATTGCCGGAAGAAATATCAACAACCTCAGATATGCAGATGATACCACTCTGATGGCAGAAAGTGAGGAGGAATTAAAGAACCTCGTAATGAGGGGGAAAGAGAGCACCAAAAATGGTCTGAAACTCAAAATCAGAAAAACTAAGATCATGGCCACTGGTCCCATCACCTCCTGGCAAATAGAAGGGGAAGATATGGAGGCAGTGACAGATTTTACCTTCTTGGGCTCAATGATCACTGCAGATTGTGACAGCAGTGACAAAATTAAAAGACGCCTGCTTCTTGGGAGGAAAGCGATGACAAACCTATATAGCATCTTAAAATGCAGAGACATGACCTTGCCGACAAAGGCTGGCATAGTCAAAGCTATGGTTTTTCCAGTAACGATGTATGGAAGTGAGAGCTGGACCATAAAGAAGGCTGACCGCCGAAGAATTGATGCTTTTTAATTGTGGTGCTGGAGGAGGATCGAGAGAGTCCCCTGGACTGCAAGGTGAACAAACCTATCCATTCTGAAGGAAATCAGTCCTGAGTACCATATTTGCCGGCGTATAAGACAACTTTTTTTGCCCTGAAAAACATGCCTCCATGTGGGGGGGGGGGGTTTGTCTTATATGCTGGTTGCACTTCAGGAGGAGCCACCGCCGCTGCTGTGAGTGATGCGGGGCCGCTGTGGCCAGGGAGGAAGGCAGTCAGTCAGTCAGGCGGTCCGGACGGAGGGAGGAAAGCAGAACCGGCCATGCCTGAGCAAAGCTGTTAGAAAAAGCTGTCTCTTCACAGGAAAAAGAAACAAAAAGGAGCACATACTGTACGCAAGCTTAATTTTAAGACAGCATTTGAACAGCACCTATGATTACTATAAAACAGATCTCTCTTTTGTCCTCTAGTTTTAGTCTTCAAGCACATTAACTGCCAGCCAGAACCTCTTTGACACACCAAAACAGAGTGAATTTCCTTTAAATTGCTAACAAGCATTGTACATGCATCATCTCATGCACAAATCAGCAATAACTTTCTAGATTCCATTTAACAGGGGATTCTTCTCAGAGACATACTATCGAACCAAACAGCATGCAACTCTCTGCTCAATGAAGAAATTCTCGAATGACTCCACCAGAGATTCGTCTAGCCTTTGTCTGAAGAATGAAACCCTAAACACTCACATTATGAAACTTTCAGTCCAACCCTATCCCCAAATTTAAGTCTAAAATACAGTATTCAGTCTTGGGCCACCCAATAATGTCTCTCTTCTATGCAGTAGTATTTCCATATTTTCAGGGATAGGCAATCTCCTAGCTAGGAGCCCAATACAGCCTGCAGGAGTTCCCCAGCCAGCTATCAGTTTCTTCTCCTGGTATCTCCAATCAGTGACTGAAAACAGGAGACTACTGAAGGATTTCAACTTAAATGTCTTGCATGTTATTAAGCTATGATCTGCAGACGAGAATACTGTGTCACTGACATTACTCATCAGTAAATGTACACAACTGAGCTTTGCCTGTGCAACTGCTGGGGAAACATCAACATGTTTAAGAATTACCTCTAGATTTGATCACATCTAAACATTAGTAGCAAAAAAAGAACAGTTCATGTTGGCTGAAATCTAGTAATAGCAACTGAAGTGGGCCCATTAAATCAGTGGGGGGGGGTTTGATGAGTCAATTCCTCTGTAATTGCCACTGACAGCTGCAACTTACTTTCAGCCTGCATCTTCTCACTGTCACCTCAGAAACTGAAGTCCACTACAGATGTTTGCTTCACAATACAGCACACATTTTCTGTAAAATTCTTCATGGCATTTTACCAGCATCAAAATTTAAACTTATACATTATTCCATAAATTCTTAACTACTAAGGCAGGAATTACCATACAATAAGATTGTGAAAGGTTCATTCATTCCCACCAGTTGTTTAACTGCTTCAAACTGAAATGAGATTTATTATCTCACAAGGAATTATGCTTCCCACAGGACAGTAACCTGGCACTGTTTGCTATGAATTCTGAAGGCTCTTCTGCCTAGAAACAGAACAGCAGGGAGGGGATGGAAGGAAGACATCCAGGGAGAGCCTCGATCACTTCTCATGCCTCCTGTTTACCTCCACCAACGTCTCTAAACAGCAACTGACTCTCCCTGTTCTCTGGAAAATCAGGGAACACAAATGGAGCTTGCTAGAAAATGTCACAGTGTGGGGTATTCCTGTGGACTCCTCCAGACAGTCATGCTTTCTTCCACAATATTCAATGCAACACACACACACATACACTAAACAGAAAGCCCGATGTTTTATTTCTCCCTTTCATCAGTATTATGTCGCTACTGAGACCACTCGATCCTCACTGGACAACTGTAAGCCCCCTTGATGAGCTGCCATGTCCCCTCTTTTACAATGAAGGGGCTGATTTAGCATTCACAAGGATCCACATTCGCCTCTGAACTCTGGAAAGAGAAGAAATGACTACCTACTTTTGGTCATAAATAATGAGTGGGAATGTTTTTTCTTTTCCTCCCTGTGTAAATGCAATCCTTTTCTTCTATCCTGTTGGGATGAGTGGGGAGGCCTTGTGGAGAGAACAAGCTGCAACTTCACTTTAGCAACACAGTGGCTGAAATCCTGCTGCTTAACATAGTAAGTCACACTAGAGTAGAATCCATGGGAATCTGGTGAGTCAACTTCTCTGTAAGTTCCATTGATTCAAAGTTGATTCACTACATGCCTGTTGATTCAATGTGCCTACTTTAGTGTAACTTACCATGCTGAACTGTAGGATTTAGTCAGTATTTAATATCATGTAACAAGCCGTGCAAGTCCATCAAAGCAGTAAGACAGGACACAAGAAGTACCATATTTTCCTGTTTTTAAGACCCACACGCACACACACACACTTTTCTAACCCCCAAATTAAGAAAACTTAGTTTTGAGAATTCAGCCTCTGGGCTCTGAACAACAGACATTACAAGTCCCCGTTGCATCTGAGCCTACGAGGTGTGTTCCAATGGGTTTGTTCAGCATCAGCTGACATCACTTCAATAAGGCATGTGACTGTAGGGAAGCTAAGCCTCGTGACTGAAGGAAACCTGTTTACAAAGGCAAGGTACAGGCCATTTTGTTCTCTCCATGTTCTCAGCTTACTTTCATGTGTAAGATGCCCCTCAATTTTTAGTGTAATGATTTTACGAAAAAGTAGTGTCTTATACACAGAAAAATATGGTGTGTTTTTGCATTCCGAGGTCTATTACCTGTTCAAGAAGCTGCCTCTGCCCCATCAGAAACTGTTTCTGTTGTTCCATTAACAAATGCTTTTGTTGTTGCTCCCTCTGCTTCTGCTGATCTAGCAATATTTGGTGCTGTTTCATTACAGCTGCTTGCTGTTGGCTGTTGAGATAGGCTGGGCTCCCATGGTTACCTGCCATGGAAACGTTCGAAGGCTGTGCATTCACACCAGGACCAGGAACAGAAACAGCAGCACGAGGAACACCAGCAGAAGGGTTCTGATCCTACAAAGACAAAGACATTGGTTAGATTTCATTTACCAAAAGAACACCAGACTTTGGAATATAGAACTTCATAATGTCACAGTTCTTTCACAGCATCATTCTGACTGAAGTGGGCCAAGGAAGATGAAAACAAGGTATTGTGGATTGGTAGCAGAATACATGTTCCATCTGCAGGTTGCAGGTTCAATCCCAACCTTTTCATGGATGGAAAAGAATCCTGCCTCAAACCCTGGACAGCCACTGCCAGTCAGTATCACTAATACTGGGCTAGAAAAAGCAAGTATAAGGCAGCTTTCTAGGTGGCCTATGAAACACCTGACTATGTGGAACAACTACCATCCAGCAGTAATTTCAAGATGACTCAATGTGAAAACCATATCCCAGAATATTTAGTAAAGGGGACTGAATAGAATTATAACATGTCTTCCAGGGACAACTACAGACCAAAAGCAGAAGCACAGTGACAGATGTGTATGTTCAAGTAAGGGGTGGAAAGAAGATGTGTATTCCTCAAATTCTCTCATTTATTACAGGTCTCTGTCACCCCAACAAACAGGAAGAAGGTGACTAATGAAACTCTACATGAAATCATAAATGAGAATGCAGTAAGAGACAAAGTGTTTGGACACATCCACGGTGTCGCCATGCAGTTGAGATGACTTTCAAACTGCCAACTATCGTAAATCTTCCACAAGTAATAAGATCTCCAAATCCCTTCAGCTCTAGGCAGGTAAATTCAAACAGAAGAAAACAAATACAGTGGACCCTTGACTTACAGACGGCTTCACTTACAGACTTTTTGAGTTACAGACTTCTCTGGCCACAAAATGTAGGTTTGACTTGCAGCCTGAGAATTGACTTACAGACCAGAAAAAACCCAAAATGGAACAAAAACAGCCTGTTACGGGATTAATCGGTTTTCAGTGCACTGTAGCTCAATGGAGACTTGACCTACAGACTTTTTGACCTGCAGCCACCGTTCCAATACGGATTACTTCCGTAAGTCAAGGGTCCACTGTAGTTCAACTCAGAAAAGGTGTCTAACCAATGAGTACATTAGATGAGGGTTTACAAACCATGAGGCATGTTTTCAAAGGAAGCAGGAAAAACAGACTGCTTTGGTAATGAAACCCTGGTGCTAGTAGTCACTTCTTTACAATAAGCCCTACCATATAAACCTTACCAGTATGCCTATACACACCACTTACTCAATCATTCTTGCTTGCTATAGCCAAACTGCTTCTAGAAGCACTTACCTGGCTGTGAGGTACTAGAGGCCTGTAAGCAATATTTCCAGATTTCTTCATTGCAAACATCCCATTCTGCTCATCATTCATATGAGGCAAAGTGGGTTGCTGCCGCTGCTGCATATATGCTATCATGGGGGATTTGTTCTGTCCTGGTATTGTAACTCCTTGTCCACATTCTTTGTAATGCGAAAGCGGCTTTGTATTCCCATAGTCTAGCACAGAACTTTGACTAGACACAGGGTTCTGGTTCAAGCTGTTTGGCTGATGGCTCAACATATTCCCACCATGATAACTATTTCCAGCCCTTGGAGAACTCTTGTTTGGTATACTGGGCATTATGAGTTTCTGGTTACTGAAGTCCTGTTGGTAAACTGAAGGGCTAGTGGGATTTTCCATAGTGTAGGGAACAGCTAATGGACTGTGAGAAGACCCAGACTGCTGCCAGCTAGAAATCTGGTTGGGTTGGTGGACCTGCTGTTGATTCTGTAACAACTGATCTCTCTTCTGCTTGGCAGCTATCTGCTGGAGTTGTTTAGCCGAGGACATCTCTTTGGCACCCCCTGTATTTTGTCCAGATAACAATGAAGTAGGTAGAGGCCTTTGTACATTCGGAGACTGGCTGGATGGTTGCATCATGGACTGGTTGGGATTTTCACTTACTGGCTGGCTGGAAGTCTGAAACATTGTTTGAGAATTACTAACGGCTGGAGAAGCAGCACTAACTGGAACAGAGGAAGTAGCAATGAATGTTGTGCCAGCAGAAGATGACCTGACCTGTGGAGATCCCATCTGCTCTTGTTCAAAATCTGCTGAAGAAAATTCAGTCTTTATAATGATGTCTTGTGGTAATGGAGTCTGTGCAGCTGAATTTGAAGAATCAACATCCTTCTTTTCCTCAAAGTCTTCAGTAAATAGATCTTTCATGTCTTCATCAGGCACTGATCTATTAAGTTCATCAATGAGCTCCTTCCACTCTTGCTCATTAAGGTTAAGATCAGACATCAAATTATTCTGAGATATAGAACTTCCTGGTCCCGTGATCATACAAGGTAGATCATCTGGTGGTTCTTGTTTGAGATCCTTGTTAATAACCAAAGCAAATGAATCATCAGCATCATTATTTCCATTCAACTGAAGGTTGGAGTCTGGTAGACACTTTTTGTTGATGCCTTCTAGCCCCATGGAATGTTTTCCATTAAGCTGTAAAGTGTCTCCGCTGGAAGGTTTGCTATCAAGCTGGTGCAGGGGTGATACAGGAGGAATTCCATTGGAGGAGCTGGTCAGCCCACCAAGATTATCATCATGACGCAATTTCTTGGGCACAGAAAACATGTCCCCGTAGCCATTCTGCTGGTCGTCATTCTGAGGTGACACCGAACTATCAAGCTTCCTTTTAACTGTTTCATGAAGCTGCTAAAGAGAAACAATTCTAAATTAGCTTTATGCCCCACACAATATGACCATCTTGGTTTTCACAGTTAGCAATCACTCTGCCAAAGATAATAGCTTTTACCATATACTGTAAATTTTAAAAAAAAACATATTTAAATGTTTGAGAAAACTAAAATTCTAAACTAAACACATAAGGCCTGGGAAAGAATTGAAAATTGAGATACACATTCCCTTCCCCCTCCTCTTCCCATCTAAAACCTTTCGATTTCCCCCCCCCCAGAAGTCAAAAAAATCATCTGTATGTGTTTCTATACTGCTTGCCTGAAATTTGCCTCCTATTGCTGTGGAGTATATTATATGTTCCCATAAACACAAAGGGGACATCTGAGCTTGCAGCATTGCTAATGCCGTTTTGGATCTGATCAACCCTTTTAATAGGTGACCACTGGAACACCTCCTCAGAGAAAATAGATATAAAAATATATTTTTAGCACTTAAATAATGACCTTATAGGGCTAATGTTAGTTGAGATAAAGAGAGAACACTGCACATAGCACTGGCCAGTATGTAAATAAAGGCAGCATTACAACAGCTGTATTCATGACTTCTCTTCTAGCGCAAAAGGCCTATACAGCAAAGCCAATCTTCTTGCAGAGGGAACAGTTGCAATACATATTCGATATGCACATTTTTTGAATCACTGTGATTCAGCCTGGTCACGTAACAAACTGCACTGCATTCCCAAGAAAATCAATCAACTTACTTATTGTTAGATTATATTTTTAGAACCAATATTTACACAAAATAATTCATACCTGAATATCTCTTCTCACCTGAACAAGAAAAAAACTTTATAAAAGAAGAAATTAAGTTCCATTCAATCGCATTTTCTTTTTAAAGTGAGGTGTGATTACACCTCACCTGGAAAAGGTGAGATGTCACCACAATGCAAATTGTACCTCTTTCTATGCTTCTTTTTTATCAAAAGCAGTCGTTATTCTCACAGCCTAAAACTGAAACAAATAAATAAAACAAGTGCTTAAGACAGCTTTACCAGAGACAGTGCCTCCCTCTATATATTTCTGCCAGTTATTAATAACATCTTCCGAGGCTCTTCTCTGGCTTCCGCTGCCCACAACGGTGCAATGAGCAGCTACCAGGGAAAGAGCTTGGTCAGCAAGAGTTCATCTGTGCAATGTCTCCTCTAGGGAGGCTGCCTGGTGTTCTCACTAGATATATTTAGAGATTAAGCAAAGTCTTCTAACATGCATTCCTTTTAAAACATATTACTTTTCCTATTGAACTTTTACCGTTGACTCTCAATGTTCTCAAATTTTAAAAGTTAGATATTGACTTAGAAGACTGCCTTGTTTTGGTTATGTTTTGATTTTACTGCTTTTTAATGTTTGTAAACCAACTAGAGGGCAGTTGTTAGTTGGGCAGTTTATAAAGTGTAACAAACAAATCAATAATTCCCTCTTCAGCATGTTTATACTGAAAATAGCGGTGTATGTTTTGGGTTTTCAGAGATTTGCAGAAACAGAAAGATCCAAATATAGACATTTAGACCTGGGCCCGTCTCAACATATAAAAAGAACTCCCCTTGAATTTTTACCTTCTCACATAGGGCCAGATTTAAGAACATAAGAAGAGCCCTGCTGGATCAGGCCAAGGGCCCCTCTAATCCAGCTCCCTGTATCTCACAGCCCCCCCCCCAGATGCCTCTGGGAGCACACGAGACAACCAGATACCTCTCTCCTGATACTCCTCCCCTGCATCTGACATTTTAAATTACAAACCAAATTATAATTATAAAATTATAAATTTAAATTATATACCAGTTCTTTTCAGATGTCCCAAAACCTGACATAAAGTATCTGAATATTAGATTAAATTCAGGGCAAACATTATAGTAGCACAATGAAAGGACATCCTCAAAGCAAGGTGGATAAAAATCAATTTGATTTAAATCATGATTAAATCAAATTCCACCCCGCCTCAAAGCTGATTTCACCTATCAGTTAATTTGCCTCATTCAGCCGAAAAAAATGGAAACCCGTATTTTGTACTTCCCAACATGCCACCATTAATAAATAAAATAAAATAAATAAATAACTGGGAATTTTACAATGTGACTGAATCAATTTGGAACAAAAATTTTACTTCATTTAAAACATTTATACCCTGCCCTATATCACAGGATCTCAGGGGAGGGTAAAAAGCTGTATAACACAATTTTAAAACGTAAGATATTTAAAAAAATTTAAAATCAAACAACATGAAATTAAAACATTTGAACATTAAAAATATTAAAGCCTCAAACTCCAGGGCCTCTAATACATACCGGTAAATATGTCTTAACTTAATGAAGAAATGATGCCAGTGTTGAGAGCTAGTCAAGCTTTCAAGGGGGGGCATTCCACAATTGGGGTGCTATGGCAGAAAAAGCCCTCCCTTGTGCCTCCCCACAGCAAAAGCTGTTTCATCTTCGCTGAAACTAGAATTCTTAATCAGCTTTTTTTACTCTGAACCATGCTCCTGCAAGACTCCCAGAACTACTATGTACCAAATTTAAAAAGAAAAATCAGTAATAAATGTATTACAGCACCACAAGTCTCAAAGTACTCAAAAGTACTCAAAAATACTCAAGGCTAGAATTTTTTATGAAGAATAAATTTAGAAGTTCAAGTAGTGTTCTTTTATCTATTTCACACATAGACACACAATTCCTCTCAATCTTGCGTTTCATTTGCTTACGGTTTTTATTTTTTCTCTCTCTTAGGTAAACCTTTTTTCACCAGTGAAAATGAACTAAATTCAGCTGGAGGGAAGTGTTTTGTTAACTGAGTTATATTAAATCTGCTGCCATCTTAATTACTGAAATTCTGGTTATCGTTCTTCTCACTACTAAAGTTAACAAAAATATACTGAAAGGTTATACAGCATATAGATCTAACAGTCTATATCATGGGATTCTATGAACATGATTTGCCCAAGAACTCTGCACTACGCATCTTCATTTCCTTGGGGTTATCTACAGTAACAGCAACTACAATTCTAATAGGTGCCACATGTTTTTCTCTTTTGGTTTTTTTTTTTTTTTTTTTTTTGCTTTGTTTCTTTGGATTTTGTCTGATATGTTTACACAGATTAACACAGCTACCTCTTCTAAAACTACAATTCCAATGTTCCTATATCACAAGTTGATGAATTCAAGAAATATTCCTTTCATTAAGTATGTAATTTTCAGATTTCTTTGGACTATAAATCCCTTACAGTAATTCTTTTACCTGACAGACAGACATCTAAATGTGTCTCAACTGGGAGAAGGACCTCATCTCAAAGTCAATGAATAGAGATGGGCACAAACCACAGTTCAAAGTGTTGTTGGTTCATGCCCATCTCTAGCATTGATGCCTGGCTTCTTGTTCAGAAAAGAAGCTCCCAGATAGCCCTGAGGCAGGAATAGGAAAACTGGATGAAGCAAAGACTCAAAGGCTTCCAATTCAGACCCGTCTATTAGGTAGAATTCCCAGAATAGGGAATTACAGGATCTGTAGTCGAAGAAATCCAAAAATCCCATTGCTTCCTCCCACAGCAATTCCATTTATTTTATTTATTGATTATACTTATATCCCACCCATCTAGTCATTGACAACTCTGAGCGGCTCACAACAAGTGGAATAAAAACAATTAAAATATAACAACAATTTATGACAATAAACAATCATATAATGCACTGTATATGAGTGTGAGTGCCAGGGTTTCAGCAGTGGCCAGGAGTGCTTCTCCATAGTTAAAACTAGTATGCCACCTATGCCCATTCCTGGAGAGGTCTGACCTAGCCACAGTGACACGTCTTAGTTACATACCAGCTGGATTACTGTATCTTGCTCTAAGTGGAAAGTGTTTGGAAACTTCAGTGAATCCAAAAAGCTGCAGCCAGATTGCCAATGGGCTGGCTACAGGCATCACATAACCATCTATTACAGGGGTCCCCAATCTTTTTCACCCCGCGGACCCCTGTAATAGACCCCCCACGCTCATGTGCACACGTGAACAAGCGCAGCCTCTCTCTCGAACAAACGAGAGTGCTTGCATGAATGCGCAAACGGCAGTGCAGTGCTTGTGCGGGCACACACACACGTGCACATGCACAAATGGCAGTGTGGCGCTTGTCTGGCTGTGCTTGCGCTCATGTGCATGCGCAAACGGTGGCATGGTGCTCGCACGGGCACACTGGAGTGCGCGTGCATGTGCAAATCAGCTGTGCAGGGGTGAGTGCATGCGGGGCTGGGGCAGATCTGTCTTCTCAGCCTGGTCCAGCTCAGGCCACGAACTGGCACCGGGCCACAGACCAGGGGTTGGGGACCTCTGCTTAGTTTGTTTCTGGGCACAACTGAAAGTGCTGATTTTGACCTATAAAGTCCTAAACAGCTTGGATCTAAACTATTTCAAGGACTGCATCTCCTTTTGTGAGCCTGTGGGGGTTTTAAAGACCATCCCTGGAGTCCTTTCTCAGTCCCATCACCCTCACAGGTGCATTTGGTGGGGACACAGGAGAGGGCCTTCTCTGTCACTGCTCTTAAACTCTGGATCTCCCTCCCACGGGAGGCCAGGCTGGGCCCATCTTTGCTGTCCTTCCACAAGCAGGCAAAGGCCTTTCTCTTCAGGCAGGCTTTCTCTCAGTGACTGGCTGTCTAACAAGGAGTTCTTAAAATGGGACTGTCATGTTTCTGTTATTTTTAATGTGTTTTTTAATAGCTTTTAATACTGTTCATTTTTAATACTGTAAGCTGCCTTAGGTCCTTTTTACAAGAAAGGTAGGGTATAAATAATAAGAGTGGTAGAATAAACCAGATGGGCGGGATATAAATCAATCAATCAATCAAATAAATAAATAAATAAGTCCGGAAGATACTGCCCACTTCATTCACATCTTTATATCTCCTGAAAAACTCATAAAAGCTGACATCAGTCTTTAAAATTAGTTATGGTTGTCTAAGTCCACTGGAATAATGAGCTGAAAGGCAGCTTATGTTTTGCCATCATACCAAAGGGTGTCATAATGGAGACCTGCACTAAATAGCTTTATTCAAGAACAGCCTGGAGTGACTGAGCCACTAACTTGAAGGGCCAGTTCAACACAAGATTACTTTCTTTCTTTGTTATCACTTTGGTATTACACAACATCTAAACAATGTGCAACACTTATTCTGCTAAATCTACACAGCAGAAAATTACAACTTGAAAAGGATTCTCACTGTCCCTAGAAGTGTTGTATTGTTGTTCCTCTCCAACCAGATGTCATAAGATATTTTGACTTTGTATCCAGAAGCTCTAAACAAGTATCACTGTTCTTCCTACAACATGCACTTTACATGTGATTACATATGGCTTTCCTCAACAGCATCACCATCTTTGTTGGCCAAGATGAAAGTGTTTTAACTTTAGTTAAAGTGTTCTAAGACAACTGGCTTCTGTACTGTGATTGTTAAGTCAGTTCAGGTTGTGCAATTCCTGAATTATGTGTGTAAACAACTTTATAGCCATTCAAGTTCCAATGCTAGGTTTTATATTCAGACATGCACTACTGGAGAACTACCATGTTGTTTGCCAGGTTCTCAGTAATCATCCCGCACTGCAAAAGAAAACAAAAATTTGAAGGATGGCTTTTTTCACCTAATATTGGAGTAATCAAAAAACTGAACTTGACCAAGTTCCCCATTTATTCAATAAATCCTATTACAGATCACACAATTATCTAACAGTAAACAATTTGACAAACTAACCAGATAAGCAAAGAAATATATACTAGCATAATCCTGTACTGTGATAGCCATTTTAAGTACTGATTTTTATTTCATTTTTGAAATATTAAAACTTATTATGCTTTTAGTTGTATCTGTTCTAAACATGTTGTGAGCTTTCCTGAAATCCCACAATGAAAGAAAGTTGGGATGTAAATTGAAT